GGGAAGGAGCATTGGCAGGTTGTGAAGAGGATCTTCCGGTACCTAAAGGGTACACCTGATGTGGGGATTAGCTTCGGAAGTGATACAGAGTTCTTGGTGTCTGGGTATTCTGACTCAGACTATGCTGGAGATGTTGACATGAGGAGATCGATGACCGGTTATGTATTCACTCTTAGGAGTTCTGCAGTGAGCTGGAAGGCAACTCTGCAGTCGGCGATGACATTGTGTACTACTGAGGCAGATTATATGGCGTTGACAGAAGCTGCTAAGGAGGGAATATGGTTGAAGGGACTGGTTGGTGATCTGGGTCTACATCATGATCAGGCAGTGGTGTATTGTGACAGTTTGAGTGCAATATGCTTGGCCAAGGATCAAGTCCACCATGAGAGGACTAAGCACATTGACGTGAGATATCATTTCTTGAGGACAGAGAAGAGGAGTAAGGTGAAGAAGGTTGGCACCGCGGATAATCCTGCTGATATGTTCACGAAGCCGGTTCCACATGGCAAGTTCCAACACTGCTTGGACTTGCTGAATGTCTTGAGTGGGTCACTCCGCCCTGCGGGGCATTGATGGCGGGAGAGCGAGAGAGAAGGAGCATAGTACATCAGAGATTTCAGAGGAAGAGGATTCAAGTCAAGGTGGAGATTTGTTGATGTAACTTCAATCGGACTATCAGCCACTATGACTGGTAGTCGGGGGTATGGGCTCAATGTTATTTGGGTTCGGGTTCTGGGTCTGGTCTGTAACCGTTTCCTTTGCCAGATTGGATTAGGTTTAGACCCACATGGAGAAGTACTATAAATACTTCTCATACTACTCTGTAATCTGTAATCTCCTCGATATAGTGAAACTGGCTCTCTCTCGCTCGTGGTCTAGCTAACACACATCATGTTAGTGAACCACGTAAATCGTTTGTCTGTGTTTTTTCGATTCTCGCTTTCGTATTCTTGCTTTATCGATTCCGGCGATTTCCCGATCGGTAGTAGCGCATTTATAACATAAAGGTTGCAAGTGTGTTTAATTTTATTACCCTTTTCAATTAACAAAAAAATCACAAATATAACAATAATACAATATATATGGGTTAATTGCATGGTTGGTCACTGAGATTACAAAAAGCGTTCATGTTTGGTCACTATAAATATTTAAATTCATTTGTGGTCACTAACTTTACAAAAACCGTTCATTTATGGTCACTCTCCGTTAGCTGCCGTCCAACGCCGTTAACGGCGTCCGTTAAGTGATGGACGTGACGTGGCTGACGGATTTGCCTAATCAGCACTTTTTAACCCCAAAATTGACTGACCCGACCCGCCACGTCATATAAACCCTCCATGTCAGCTAAACCTAACCAAACCTCTACCCAAACCAGATCAGACCCGCTAACTAAAACCAAACCAGACCCCGAAAATTGTTTGACTAAAACCCTAATCAAAGATAAATCCATCTGCCTCCATCCTGTGCCGCCTTCCTCCCTTTCATTTTTCTTCCTGGAGATTTTCTGATCGCGAATTCGCCGGCGCCGCCTTCCTCCCTTCCTCCCTTCCGTTTTTCTTCCTCCCTTCCGTTTTTCTTCCCATTTTCTTCTCCATCGCGCGCGCCTGACTTCCCCCTTTCGCGAGCAGTCAACCCAAACCCTAAATCGAAGCTTTGATTCTCCTCCACTCTTTGACAACGAGGCCAGTTTGCTTTGTTTATTCAATTCTCCTCCCTCTTTCTGAGCAGTCAACAAAACCCTAAAGGTGAGTTTCTGCCTTTTCTTTGTTTCTGCCTTTTCTTTGTTTATTCGAGCCCTGTCTGGAAAGTGTCGTGCTCAGAAAGAGGGAGGAGAATCGAATAAACGAAGCGAACTGGCCTCGTTGTCAGAGAGTGGAGGAGAATCGAAGCTTCGATTTAGGGTTTGGGTTGACTGCTCGCGAAAGGGGGGAGTCAGGCGCGCGCGATGGAGAAGAAAATGGGAAGAAAAACGGAAGGGAGGAAGGCGGCGCCGGCGAATTCGCGATCAGAAAATCTCCAGGAAGAAAAACGGAAGGGAGGAAGGCGGCGCGTCCATTAGCAAGTGTTTTATTCATTTATATAATAAAGACTATACAATTTGTTTTATTCAGACGATACTTTTAGGATATATATGCTTCTACCTCATGGCTTATGTTACGTGTATTTCTCCGGTGAGAACCTTCATGTAACGTGCGTCGTTGATGTTGAAAGATATTCCTAAAAAAGAGAGTTAGAATGAAGAGAATATTCAGAGGAACGAAGATAACTACAATTATTATTGGGTTCCAATCTTCAACATACCATTAAACGAAAGACCAAGTACATATTTATAGACATAGAAGCCTCTACCTTATCCTATCTAGAACATGACTCCTACTCCTATAAGAAAATTACTAACAATAACCAAATCCTACTTAAACAAAGAAAACAATAATAAAGACTAAATAATAATAAACTACTACTAATACTAAAATGACAAAGATACGCAAGCCCAAATCGAGGCCCAATAGTTACAATGGCTTGATTCTCGTAACAGCTCATGTGATAGTTTTGTAGTTTCTAGTAGACGACCAGTTTATTTTATTTTTGTTTCGTAGGTGTTCATGAATGTGTGTTCTCGTTTGGCCACTTTCACGAATACTTTTTCACTCGTGGAATCCAGTTTATCTGTTTATGTACCATGGTTCCTTACTGGCACGTCGGCACTTCACCCAATTGTCATTGACCCCCTCCATCTTGTCGTCCTGAATCCTGTCTAATCATCAAGATTATCATAAATATCTTGGCTTAAATTCATTAATTTTAGAGAAATTTTTTGACTGCGCATATTATCTTGGGGTGGTTTCATTTACCCTCTGTTTCGGAGAGGCGGAAAAGGGGGTGATGGGAGATATTGGAGGGGAAATACAATTCTCAAGATATTTTCCGCTGTTTCTGAACAAAAGTAACAGTGCGGAGGGAGAGAAAAGCAAAGGAAAATCTTCTGTATCGCTTGGCCCTCCAAATTGGGCGGAAACTTGGCTTCTCTTCATGCGTTCCTTTTTTATTATAATCCATGTCCTTTATTTCGACAAAATCATGGATGCCTTCCTTTTTTTTAATAACCAGAATCATCTATGCCCTCCTTTTAACGTGGGTTTAGCGGCATTATTAGGAGTAATATCAAGAGAAGAGCAATATTAGGAGAAGATGCTTATTATAAAACGTATTTGTTTGTTTATTATTTTTGTGATTAAAGAGATAATATGGATTAATTTTGGACACCTATAATTAAATTGTCGAAACCTGACCATATTATTCGGTTTAGCTTTCGATAGTATTTTTGTGATTAAAGAGATAATATGGATTAATTTTGGACACCTATAATTAAATTGCCGAAACCTGACGATATTGTTCGGTTTAGCTTTCGATAGAATATTTTTCAGGTCAATCCATTGGCACGCTACATTTTTCAATCCAAGGTTATTACTTTAATGGTATAAGTGATATTCCAATAAAATTTCGTTTGGACCGGATTATACCAAACTGTAATAATGTGGTCCGGTATAAAATAATTGACGTGGTTAATCACGATTTTAGAACAAAATACCATACCACTAATTTTTATAATACAATCTCTTATGCAGTTTAGAAAGAAAGTATAAATTTAATTCACAATTCATAACTAGAATCTTAACATACAATCAAATTATTTTACTATTACATAACCAATAAAAAAAACATATTTATCACATTGTCCAATACCTACTTTTCTTCGCACTTTCCTTAATAAAACAACATTTTCCTCCCAATTTTCTTCACCTCCAAATCTCCCCTCCCCTCCTAATTTTCCTTCACCTCCCATCCTTTTCCTCCCTTCCTTCAGAAACACAGGGTTAGTAATCTGGGTGAGGCAAAATAAGTGCCTCTCAAATTCAAGTCAACAACGATTTTCTGACCTGGTCCGTTTGTTTGTTTGTCCAAAATTGGAGAGTTTAAATTTATGGAGACCATGGATTAAGGGAAACGGATCAGGTCAGTAACTATGAGTAACATGTTCATATCAGAATGACATCAGTATCCTCTCTCTCCTGGAAAGTCTTTTATCTATTCCTCTTTAATTTTTAACGGACGATTTCTCTCTCGTTTTAAGTCAAAATTTAATTTTTTTGCACAGTTAAATTAGATTAAATGTGCTCTTTAAAATGATATCCACTTTGATATATTTTTAGTACAAAAAAAATTGAATAATCTTTTACCAGTCATTGCCATATGGTATGCTCCTATTTAATACCATATGGTAAGAAAGCGTACCATGATGGTATGAACATACCAAGATGGTAAGAAGGTTGAATACATGATAGTAAGAGTGTACTAACTGTCATTTACGACTTTCATCATTGTTTACTACAAGTTACCACAAGTTACCACCCACATACCATAGTGGTAAAGTATGGTAATTTTTTATCCAGTAATTTTTTATCCAGTAATTTTTTCACCCAGAAATTTATAAATAAAATAGATCATGATGAACTCGTGCCTTCTGAGCAAACGTTTTCAAAAACGACTTAAAAACGAAGAAGTTACCATATGATATGTAGTTGGTAAAAAAAAAGTTCCTCGAAATATATTGAAAATTGATCTCATTTTGTAGAGCACAACGAACACGTTCCATTTGTGAAAAAAAATTGAAATCCAAGTTAGAACGAAAAAGATAAGAGTCAATTAAGAAAAGTAGAAAAAATAAAATGCATTTAATTGACAGCTTTTAGATCTGAATTTTCTGGATCCACTTAGATTTAAAGGTTCTAGATTAAGCATAGGATTTTGACAAGTAGACATAGGATTTCAGCAAAGTTTTGTTGGGTTGAATTTTGGGGAACAAATCACTCGCGCACAAATCTCCACTTTCTTTCCGGAAGAAATGCATGTTCATGGGCTTTTGGTTGACCTTCCCTTCTATTTCCCCATGGGCTTTTCGATTTGGCCCATATCTTCCACATTTTGCGAAGCGATGCAAAATCGAATTTGTCGGAAGATGATGGTGTGAAAAAAAAAAGGAAAACTGACTGAGAAACCTCCCAAAATCTCAGTATCGCCGAAGTAGCCGTAGAAGAGCGACATCCGACGAGTCGACGACGAGGGTACAGAAAGGAAGTTAACCAAATTTCATTTCTGCGCATAGTTCTCATTTCATCGCACTCCCAGGTTTCTCTCTATCTCTTTCTATGCCGTAAAATTAAGCATTGGACTGGAGAGATCTGTAGTCGGAAAGAAAAAAGCTTTACATTTGCATCGATCCGTCATCGGAATGGATTAATTCGTTCTCTTCCAATTTGATTCCAACTATGTTTGTATGTGGTTTGTGATCGACTCCAAAATGAATCCGAATCAGAATCAGGCTATGGCAGTAGCATCAGCAACAATTGCAGAATCCAAGCCGTTTGAGGATTCATTTTGTGGAGTTGGAGCTGGTTCAATTTCAGGAGGAGGACTCATTCGAGGCGGATTGGGTGCTTACGGCGGGAAAATTCTCGGCTCTGGTTCCGACTATGTCCAAAGCAATGTAAGCATCATCATATTTCATAAACCCTAGGAAGAATTTTATCAATGAAATCCTGAAAAGGGTTTTCTTTTAATTAAGTGGCTTTTGCTTTCAATTTACGGAAAACAGATAAGCAAATACTTCTCAGATCCACAGTACTACTTCCAAGTGAATGATCATTATGTCATCAACAAATTGAAGATCCTCCTCCTTCCTTTTCTCCACAGGGTACTATTACTGTATTGCTTCTCTTTCTCTCCTTGTTTCCACTTTACAAGCTACAATAAGAACAGTAGGTAATAATAAGGAGAAGGATGAAACAAGTTTGCTGTGTAATTAGGGGCATTGGACTAGGATAACGGAGCCAGTTGATGGCAGGCTATCCTACAAACCACCGGTTAACGACATCAATGCACCAGACTTGTACATCCCATGTATGGCATTCGCCACCTACTTGGTCCTCGCTGGCATCTCCCTCGGCCTCTCCGGCAAGTTCAGCCCAGAAGCATTGAACTGGCAGTTTGTTAAAGGGATGGTGGGGTGGGTGACTCAGGTGATGCTGCTGAAGGTCTCGCTGCTGTCGTTGGGAGGAGGGGAGGCGCCAGTGCTGGACGTGGTGGCGTATGCTGGCTACACCTTCACAGGGATGTGTATGGCTTTGCTGGGGAGGATCGTGCTGCGATACGCATACTATCTCATCATTGTGTGGACTTGTCTGTGTATGGCGTTGTTCCTAGTGAAGACGATGAAGCGGACCTTGTTTGCTGAAGTCAGGTGTTTTGATCCTAGCAGGCATCATTACCTCTTGCTTGGGATTGCTCTCACTCAGTTCCCACTCATCTTCTGGCTCAGCAACACTTCTGGCAACTGGGCTTGATCCAAGTGACTGTTGCTGCTGCTGATGATGGTAGCTACTTAGTTCGATTTCTACTGATCTTACTCTCTCATTCTTTAATTCTTTTGTTCTTTTTTCTTATGATAGTTGTTTCGTGGATGCTTGCTTCTCGTAAGGGAAGCAGGGGAGAGGTCAGAATGTAATAAACAAAGTGATGAAAAGTACCAAATTTGTTATGGTCTGGCAATAAAAAGGTACAAACTTTGTTGTTTACCGAAGAGTATAATTGAAGGAAATTTCTTCTGGGTTGGTTTTGATTCTCAGTTATCACCAAATGAAAACAATCCTCTGGTTCTTTGAACTATAAGGCTTGGCTTCCTATTCTTCTCCTTCTCTTTTCATCTTAAAACAGACAAACCACTGAGATCTTCACGTCTGTACACTCTGCCACTTGAGTAACAGTTTCATCAATGAGTTTTCCTACCTGTCTTCTGTGTTCATCCTGTCCAGAATCACGTGATCATCTCTGTTTCAAATGTGCCTACACGCAGGCAGCAGTTGGTGAACTATGCTTACCCTTTTCCCTGGAACTATAACACAAAAAGCTGGAGGGCAGGAGGGGATGATGGAGGCAACAGAAAGCTTCAACGCTTGCAATGTCGGCAGATTTGTTTTGAACATGGTGATAAGTGAAATATGACGTCAACATTGCAGGGGGTTGTATGGGAGTCAGAGCCTCAATGTAGTATGCAGAAGATCATGGAATGACAGCTGATTGGCGAGTCTGAGGTAGCTACTTCTGTTAAAGCAAGAAACTTTGGTTCCAAAATTAAAAAAATCAATGTTCGTTGCTTGGTCTTATATATATCTCGAATAGGGTATGTAGAGGTTGGTATTGGATGTAAATTTTGTTCTGTTTTAATGTAACAGAGGAAGTATGAGGGACTATGTAGTTTGCTGCTCTTTTGTTAGAGCTTAATGAAATGAAATTTGCTTTTCATTAAAGATATAAGAAAAAAAAAAGAAGCCAAACCAAACACAAACTGACCAACAAATCAGAACCCAGAAATATAAACAGAGAAGAGAATAGATAAGGGAAAGAAGGTCCCTCCCCTATATATTGGACAATGATTATGCCCCTTATTCTGCACATGACATTTTGGAGAAGGATAATGGTAAGTGCTACATGCAACAAATTATTTCAATTGAGTTTTTTTGCTAATTACTAACAAAAAACCTCAATTAAACCATTAATTAAGCATGCCTTCCAGACATACATATACTCATCCTTATTCTTTGCCTCCATCTTCATCTTCCTCTGCAGTTAATAAAGCTTGGAATCTGTTCGCTAGACGAGTGACCTTATTACCATCCTGTTGCTGCTGCTGCTTCTTGCTACTATTGCTCTTCCTCTTCGTTACCTTGGCGACGTCCACCGCCGGCCTAGGTTTTGCCTGCTCCAACACCCTTTCTTGATCTTTTCTGTGCTTTTGGATATCCCTTCGTTCCAATCAAATTCCACATAGCTTGATTAGTAAATAACCTAGACGAGGAGGTAAGTAAATATCATTGCATGTCAAAATTAAATGCTTAAATTGCCAGGGCATGGGGAGAAACCAAAAAGTACGTGCCTTCCTTTCCACAATCATCTTGTCATCAGGATCAGAATGACAAAACCTCTCAACCCTTTGGTTCCCAAGATCGAACATGCCACAATCATTGCCGTATTCAGCGGAGCGATAGTCCTCAAAAACGAAGTAGATGCGGTTTCCTTTAACCCCATTGTTGAGTGGATCCGCAGCAAGGCAGAACGTCTGGTGTGAGTGAGACCCCAAAAACACGGCGTGTCCATCCAGGTCGGCCACTTCTGCCCAATGATAACTGCCCTTATCGTCTCCTCCTCCTCTCAGTACAAGCTTGTACACCTCGAATTTGAGCTTGGCGCCCGGGTCAGTGCCCCTGTACCACTCATAACAGTGGCTCAGGATGACGAGGAGTTCGCCTCGGAGGCTGGCCAAGTGGTAAGAGGTCGTCTGGTGGATGCTAGAAGCATCTCTGGCGATCCAGGTCGACCCGTACGACATGTCCGGAGAGAGCGGGAACACCCTCACGGAAACATTACAGCTAACCAGTCCCTCGACGACGGACACGTGCTCTCCGTCCACCAACACGTACAGCTTCCCTCCCGAGTAGCCCATGTCGACCCGCCACGAGTAACGAATGTCGAAGACTCGAGAATCGTGGCTCGTGAACCTCCAGCTTCTTCGTCCTTCCATCTTGGTGTCATCATCCTTGGCGGCCGCATGCACGTTGCTGCACCAGGCCAGTTGGGGTGTGGAGTCGAAGAGAACGATGACGTGGCAGCTTTCGTCGTCGTCATCAGGGGGAGAGGTGATGAGTGCTTTGATGATGTTGGAGTGGTGGGCGGGGAAAGGGAGAGGAGGGAGAGGGATGGAGGACTTGGTGATCGGATTGAGGAGGTAGAAGGTGACGCCGTGGCAGCGGCGTGGGTGGACGATGAGGATCCACCCGTCTTTGGAGGCGACGTAGAGCTGAGATTGGATGGTGGAGCCGAGGTAAGGGCTGTCGTCGAAGTCGAGGTGGATCTTCTTGTGGCGCTCCGATTCGCGTTGGAGGTGGGATACTTGGGACAGGGATGGGAAGTGAGGGAGCATCACCCGCGGCAGCCGCTTTCTCCTTCTCCCCTTGGTGCTTGTTGGAGTTGGCGATGGAGTTATTGGCTGCATGGTGGTGATGAGGGGAAGGAAGTCGTGTGGTGGCCCGCAGTAGCGTGAGGGCGCGGGGGGTTCCGGCAGGATGGATTGCGAGATGAGGAGGCCCGGAAGCTGCATGGATTGGAGCCGGCGGCGGCAGTGTGGGAGAGCGGCGGATCTCCATGATTTGCACACTCCGGAGAAGGAGAGCAAGTGAGAGATCGTGTTTAAGTGATGGGTTACTAGCTTTACTAGTATGTCCACCGGCAATCCGGAGTAATCCATTTGGATCGGATCGAGAACAATAATGTATGTACGAGTTTAATATACGTATATACAGCCACTAGCTAGCTAGGGTTTCCTGAAGAAACAAAATTAAACAAAAAGTTGAATCAGTCGATGGATTTGATATCCTGATTACAACAAATGAGAGTCTCAGCTTGCTTATAAATCAAAGTGCGCGAAAATAAAAACCCTAAAAATGAGTGAAGTTTCTCATGAGAAGATTCGTGGAGCTTATTAGGGCACAAAGAGAACCGTAAATGATGAGCGTGCATGGAGGAGATAGACGAGAGGAGTAGAAACGCATACCGGCCGGGGAGATCGAGCGCGCGAGTGCAATGCAGAAAGATGACAGAGAAGGGACGTGAATCTGGTGCACTGTAATTGGAGTGGATTGGAGGAGGACGAAACCCTTGTGATTTTTTTCCGGGATGTAGTTACGAATTTACGACTGCGTTTTACATTTACGAACGGTTCGAACCATCCATCAAGCTGTCTTTTTTTCAGTAGGAAAGACGAGAGATTTGCACCGACAATGAATTATTGATATTGTGATACAAGTACAGCGGCTAAGACAGGATTTTAAATTCGTGGCATAATTTTGTGATGCATAATCATAATCATATATAACCTGCAACATCAACGTCACATTATTATTTTTGGAGGTTTTAATTTTTCTCTTTAAATTTTACGGGTTATATATCTTTCATTTTTAATTGGAATTCAATTTTTTTTAACAAATAAATCAGATTAATTATCCTCTTCAAATTTATATTTTTTCATATTTTTTTAAATAAAAAATTTGGAGCATTTAGTATCAGTCTATACGATGTTGGTATTATTTGGTATTACATAATAGCATATCACGTGGCATGGAAGAGAGCACTTCTAATAGTATTGGTGCTTTACTTTACAACTTTAGGTTGAACCATAACAATAAATGTATAAGTTTAGGTTGTATCATAAAGGAATTTGTACCATTATGTAGGGCTGGGAAAATAGACCAGACCGTTAGAAAAATCGTGGTCCAAACCGTACCGCACAGTTTGGTCCGGACCGTAGACCGTAAAGTATGGTCTGGTCTGGTCCATGGTCTGCATTATTTTATGATTTGATCTCTTGGTCTGGTCTGGTCTAGACCGCGGTTTACCGTACCAAACCGTAGACCCAACTGACTTGTCAATACGTGTAAACAACCCATTTGACCACACTCCAAACTCCCACAACGACACCCAAGTCTCAACCTTAATTTTGTGAATCTCTTCCCTCCTTCATTCACAACCACATTTAACCACGGAGTAGAGATAATCGTGTCTCCATATGATATTATGTTAATGTTTATGACATCATGGTGCAAGTTGGGATGCTTTTACTTTGTATCTTTGTTATCTACTAAGATTGTATCAAAATTATTCATGCATGTTAGGATTAATGTTTTAAGGCAAATAACAATTATTATTCTTGGTTATTGCTTCAATTTTTTGTATGGTTGACTTAACAAATTATTCATTTTTCATTGAGTGTGGTCTATCTGGACCAGACCAGACCGAATCAGACCGCACAGGCGTGGTCTGGACCGGACCGTATAGTCTGTGGTCTATACTTTAGCCTCTCGATCTGGACCGTAGATCGTATATATGGTCTGGTCTGGACCAGACCGCACCGTTTCCCAGCCTTACCATTATGTTATGGTACAACTTTACAACTTGAAATTGTACCATCACATAAAGATACAAGTTCAAGTTGTACCATAAAAGAATTTGCACAAAAAGTATAGGTACAATTTGAAGTTGTACCATAACGTTAAAAGTACAATTTCAAGATGTACCATAAAGACAAAAACCTATAGCACCAATGTTATATAGCATTGTAAAATTTCTCGGCATGGAAGTGTATCATGGTGGTATGAACATGCCAGACTGTAGAATGGTTGAATATATGATAGTAAGAATATACTAATTCTCGTTTACAATTTCAACATTGTGTAACACAAGATATCACCCCTATACGGCTATGCCAGGGTGTAGGAATGAACAAAATGACCCGCAAACCGACCCACATGTCCAATCCGACTCAACCCACCTGTATTTATCACTAAAATTAAAGTTTTAAGGTTGGATGAGGGTTTTCTTTTGTACAACTCATCTCTTTTGGGTTGGGTTTGAATTTTGGGTTACACACCCTGTAGAACCCGACCCAACCTGTGTCCCAACTATTACTATGACGGTTTTATAAAAAAAACTAATTGTGCCTTATATAAGCATATTTGTGATTCACGTAACCTATGTATTCTTCAACTTAAATTTAGACGTAGATTTAATACAAGCTATGATTCACGTAATCCTTTTTCTTGTACACAATTTTAAGAGAATAATAAATTAGGTATATGTTCTTTTATATCCTCTTTAGCCTATTTCGGCAAATTTTTGTGAGAAAAACTAGACATATGTTGAAACTAATCGCATTTTATTAAAATTAAAACAATATATATACGTTTTGATGCTTCTCGTATCGATTTATTTGTTTGAAATTTTAATTTTATTTATATAATATTTTTAGGCCTAATTTCAGTAGAAAGCGCAAACTATTCAAAAAGTATCATTTGTGTTCTAAACTATTCAATATGACAAATCTGGCACGGACTATTTTTCCGTTAATATTGACCAGCCTTGACCATTAATATTTAACAGAAAATCTAGTCAACGCTGATGTGGCATATGACAAGTAATTTTAAATTTTATTTTCTATTTATTTTGGTAGCAAATGAACAAAATAAAAAAGTAAATCTCTGCCTCTTGTCTTCGCGTCGAACCCTCTCCCCGCCGCCACCGTCGGAGCTTCAATACTCCTCATCTCTCCATCGCCGACGAGAGCAGATCGGGTTAGGCTGGGGCGGAGCGCAGAGCGGCGAACGGTGACGGGGAAGGCCTCCCATCCCTCACCTACT